CCTTTGTCCGCTCGAATGATCGACTGGATGTGATAACTTAGCGCCCCGCTGTGTGGGCCGGATATACTGAGGTGCTCTGACGGCGGAGACACTTCTAGAGAAGACACCGTCTCGCATTTCTGTAATGTGATATGAAAAATCGACAGAAATGTCGTTCGCTAGTCGCGGTGTCACAAGATGGCGTGCGCATCCCGTGGCGAATCGTCACAACGTAAATCCAACTCTTTCCATCCAGCAACGTCTGCTAGACTCCCTGCCCATGTCAAACACTCTCGACTATTACGATACGCGATGTCTCTCGTGCAGAATCTCGGGTCGGTGAGAAGTGACAAGAGAGCATCTATGTCGCTCTCTGCGACATACCGACGTCGCCTCTGGCGGAGAAAATCAGTGTCGCCAGCTTGCGAGAGCTGTCAAAAGATTCGACAGGCTGCGGTTGCTGCTCTCCGAATGTCCCGCCCTCCCCGTCTACATTCTTGGGGGCCCCGACGTCCTCGCTCTCATCGCTCACGAGATTCATTGCACCTATATTTGATGCTCCGACGTCATCGACCACATCCATCTCCTGGCCATGTGTTCTTTCGTCCGCCATGGTCGGGCATGCCCTCGCACGATGTGAGTTCAAAGCTCGTAATGACATGAAAGGTCTGCCACAGTCGTACACACGTGGACCGCTGTCCATGTTCTGTGCACGCAGTGCATTCCAAAAACAAACAGAGCGGTGCGGACAGTGTTTTCATTAGCATTTTGTACATTGGTTCAGGTCGTTAGAATTATAAGTTGCAGAGCATATTTTGTTATATTGTGTAAGTGTCTCACATCCTCTTTTCTGTGAGAAAGAGATAGAGAGGGAGTACTGATTGCCGTTTTTGGTACGAATGGTCTGTGTCGCTGATCCCAATTGACAAAGATTAGTAGTTAACCGTGCGACACGATAATTTATATGCCATGACAGGTTCTATGGTCGTGTAGGAAGAGGCAACGACTTACTCATGGTACACGATATATGACACAACATTCATCACCATGGTTTTGCGGTTGGCCAAGTTCGTAATTATCCATCTACGACGTTTGTGAATGTGGTATGTGTTTTCCATGTCCGCGTGAAAATGATTGCACCTCGGCACCTCAGCCGACCTCCGCACAAACTTCCAAAACATTTCACAACCTACTACATTCGAATTTAAACTACAGAGAATGCAAAAAAAAAACACGACATACACACGTTGGTCATCACAGGGGGTCTGATGTGTCTCACGTACTCCAAAAGGCAACAAATTATGACATACATCGTAACAATCATCAAATGATTGAAATATTGTTCAATCTTGTGTCTGCACGCTGTAGTGAACCGCATGTACTTGGAGAGGCAAATAACAGGCAACATTAAATGTAACCCGCAAATACATGTAGACGTTCTAATATAGCTACAACTCGACATATGAGAAAGAGAGAGAAAAAAAAAATATATATATATATATATACATATATATATATATATATAGAGAGAGAGAGAGGAGGTTCACTAGTGCGGGCCAAAACGACAACAAACAGCACCGGTGGACACTGATATGGCACGCAGTAGTGAACCTGACCGCCATTGAAATTGAGGCAGACATAGAGGGATGTATAGGTTGAGGGATGCATGTCTGTCATCATCCCTGATGTCTAAAATGGTCTGTCGTGGTGTGTGGGTGTGTCTCCGGTCGCTGCCGTGGCCGAGCACTAACTATTGCGTCTCCTGTTGACAAGCCGGGATGCAATGTCTCTCCCCAAGCTGTCGTCATTGCGCCGTGTATGAGGCAACTCAGGTTGACTCCCCATGTCAGTGACATTGCTAGCACAGCCTCTCTATTGACTAGAACAAACCATCCCTTGCCAACACGTGACCACCTTTTCCCCTTGTTGCATGATTTCATTATGCTGGTCACTGCGGCATACTGTTGTGCATCATCTGGTGTTGCCCCCTTCATCACAACACGCAGCACTTTGTGCGGATCGGGAAAAACACGTGCCAACCTCAGAATTGCATGTGCCCACCCTTTTGTCACTTGTCCACCCGCAACCTTCAAATCATAGTATACATCATGTTCCTCGTCGATGCTGACATCGCTGCCGCTCCTTTCCACGTCAGAAGATGATACCCCCTCATCCTCTTCTCCATCTTCTTCTTTTGCACTGTCTGTGTACTCTGCACAACAACTTGCCAAATCGGCCTCTTCAAATCCACGATCACACAGTTCTTTCTCCATTGTGAAAGCATTGAAGATATCGCAACACACTAGCTGCTCTCTCGTTGCTGTCTGCATGGGAGGCACATCGACAGCCATACTGGTTATTGATTCTTGTGCTGCTGATGTCTGTCTGTTGTCTGGAATGATTGCTAAATTTGTTTCCGTGACCATCACCTTCCACTCTTCTTCTCTTTCTCTTTGTCTCTCAACATCACAGCTTGCAAGACCGAGCCGCTCCAATGCAGCTGATAACAACTCCCCCCACAACAGTCTGCCAGATATGATGTTGTCTTCTGTTATTGCTGACACAAATTCTATCACATCTTGACCCTGCAGTGCAAACTCTGTCACTTCGTGCAACGCCTCATGGATGACGTTCTTGTCGTCGTCACTCTTTTTCATGAAGTCCACAAGTTGATCCAGCATAATATATTCCACACCATCTGCAACAATGACAGGAACATCTTGAAATTCTTCTGACGATGTTTGTGTAAAGTCCGTCATTCTGGACAACACCAATATTTCCGCAGCACCGCTCTTCAACTCGTCCTTCGACCCATCAACCAACATTCCCCCATTCCGTGCGACAGTGCCCAACAACTTGCCAAAGTTTGCAGGTGTATATGTCCCCCCTGTCTGCTGCATTGTCATGTCAACATTTCCTTCTTCGCACATCCCTTCGCTGCAGATCCAATGGACCACTCCTTTTAGACTGTATGCATTGTCTTCCATATCGCTGTCCACACGTACATGTGGTGACTCTCTGAAGCGTTGCAAGAGTGTTCGTGCTTTGACACAACCCTCGTCGTTTGCCATGATTGCGGATCTTATATCCACAGCGACTATGAAGTACCTCGGCACCCTGTCCTGAAGCAAAGACAACTCGCTGTCACGGTTGTAGTGGACACCCTCCTTTGCATACTTCATTACCTCTGCAAGAGCAGCCTCCACTTGACATCAACATGATTCGTACGGTTTGTCTTTCGTCCTCTTCTCTCTGCCAGCGGAAATGCACAATGACGTCATCGACATGTGTGTGTGTGTGTGTGTGTGTGTGTGTGTGTGTGGCGTCTATGTATGAACTTATGTGGATGTCTGTGTCTTTGTGCATATGTCTATGGATCTGTTTGTATAAATGGTCTGTGCGTGTGTCTGCGTGTCTGTTCCCAAGTTGGTTACTGCGTGCCATTCGAAGTCGCAACGGTAATCATTCGTCAGTTTCTGGCACGCAGTAGCCAACTTTAAGGGTGCATGCCAGAATGTGTGTGTGTGTGTGTGTGTGTGTGTGTGTGTGTGTGTGTGTGTGTGTGTGT